GGAGCCTGCACCGGGTCGCCCGTTGTGGGGGCTCCAGCGAGGCCCCAGTCCAGGCGGAGGCACTCGCAGCGCTGGTCTGGTTCCAGCCCAAGGCCGCAGCGCTGCCCTCTTTTAGTCCTTCGCCACGCAGCGTCTGCTGCTTTGTAGGTAGGTCTGGGTGTGTTGCTTCTAGCTCAGTGGTGGACAGGCGGGCCCATTTGGGCTTCTCGCCGGGAGCTTGGGTGAGAGCAGATATCTGAGAATCGGTCCACATATAGCTGGATTTATAATATTAATTTTAAATACAGTGACCAAAAAAAAAAGTAATAGAACAAAGAGGGCTTTCTGCTTCCTTACTAGAATGATTTTGAAACTATGGAGCTATTTGAAAACTATGTGAAACTGGTAACTGTAGTCCCATTTAAAATTCAAGGATAAAAAAATTGGGCCTGCCTCCAATAACTTCTTTGTTGCTCAAAGTGAGGGTAACACAAGAAGCAAATGGGGCATGAACAGGGCAATTAAAATGTTTAAGCTAAGACATTGCTAAACAAGTTTTGAAAAAATTTACAGTTTCTTTTCCATAGGAAGCCACCAATGTAAATAAATACAATTCTTCGAAAGTCAGCCCTGTAGGACATGTCAGCTCTTGAAACTCAGGAATTCCGGTTTTCCCCTTTAGTGTATGGAGTAGCAACTGTGCAAGTTTCTCCATAGAAGTCCTAGTGAACAACTAGATTGGAACGAGCAAGCAGTAAAATGGAAGAGAAGGTGAATAGGTAGAGAAAAATCTGTCATCTTGACCTTTATTATAGGAAGATTATGCAAAATGTCACATCTTTGTACAGAGATGTTATCTTTTACAGTTTCCTTTCCTGCTTTTTCTTTGATACTCTTGATAAACACAGAAATCTTGCCATTACCTGAAGAAACCTGAACTGATGTCAGAAAACATCTGGAAGCAACAAAAACGCAACATGGGTTTTTCTAGTAGGATTTTGTCACCGGGTAGTAACTTTTAGCAGCCTCTAGGTGTCCTTTCAGTATCAAGCCTAGTACTGAACTTATCTTCACTGCGCAGATTGGATGAAGTCTACGTAATTATGTAGATCAGATAATTTATTTTGAGAAGATCTCTCTGATCCAGATATTTTCTTGCAATTAATATTTTTAATGCTGTAATTAGTATCATTCCTGTGCACAGACCAGCCTGAGAACTCTACAGGCTTATGACTCCTGTGAAATAGGTGCTTGCAGCCACAGCTGCAGTGCTGGTTTTCATGCTTTGCTCCCCTCCCTGCTAAGTTTCAGTCCCACTTTGGTGGACTGCTTTGGTGGTCAAATAGCATGAGGTTTTCCCATATAACTTGGAGGACTGACTCAGCTGAAGTTCTTCTGAGTTTGACTGTGCTTGTTAATAAGGATCAAGAGTTTTATCCCGTAGACTAGAAGGTTTCCAAAGATTTTTTTTTATTTTTTCCATGTAGCTCCCCATCAACTATTAAGATAACTGGAGAGACTTGCAGACCTTATTAACCTAGGCTAGATAATCTGGAAGTTAGAATTTGCAACATGTTTCCTTTCTTTGCCTATGCATTTTTCTAAGTATATATGTCAAAAGATATCTGTAGATAAATTTAGATCCCTACCAATATACAAACTGGTCTATGCATGTGACAAGCATGTTGTATCAGTAGCTTGCATGCTTACCTTGATATGGTTTATTGTAGCTTCCAGATGAGCTTTACCTTGCTCTGAATAGGCTTCTCGCAGCAGGTACAGTTATACATAGCTGTGGTTGCACATATTTAACGTGGATGTCTTTTACCCTTACTCCTCATTGTTTTTCATATAGACCCAAACATTTCATTAGGACCCTTCCTAGAATTGCTGGAAGTATATCATGGGTAGGTGAGAGGCTCAACTATTGAGACTGGGTAGGAAGCATCAGAAGTATTGGGAAAGTCTTTGCACATGTATATAGTGTACAGCTATATCTCAGTAAAAAGTAAAGTAGATTGAATATCAAAATACTAGTGTACTCCATGAGCCAAGATATAATTATCTTGTGAGGCAGCAAGAGCCAGCTGCTCTGTGTGTGTGGGGGGGGGGGGGGGGGGAACTGAGCCCTTTAATGCAGCTGGCAGGGCAGGGGCCTCCCAGCCAGGGCCCAGTCCCACAGCCTGTGAGCAGGGCAAGTGGGGCAGACCTGGAGATAGCAGCCAAGGTCAACCAAGAGCCTAGATCATCAGGCAAGGTCATGCCAATGAGGCAGGTCCAAGGCTGAGCTAAGAAGTCAGCCTACAGATCAGGGTCAGGTCTGCTGGAAGCAACCAAGATCAGACACAATACAGTGATTACCAGGCAGGTCTGGGGTCTTCCTAGGAAGTCAGTCTGTGGATCAGAGTCCAGATCAACAGTGTCTATACCTAGGCAGAGGCACAGCTACTAATGAGCCAGCAAGTGGTGCTCTTACAGCATGGTCCAAACAAGGACTGGAAGCGCAGGCCTGAGCTTAAATGGGGCTCCTGGGCCCATGAGCAGAGGGCGTGGGTGGAGGCTCCAGGTGAAGCTAGTCAGGTCCATTAAAGCCTATTAGCACCTTCGGGGCCCTGACAGGGCATATCAGGAGAAGGAAGGTTCCCTTCCCAGGTGAATGACCTGGGTGGTATTAAAACAGCAGAAAGGAAGCAGCTGTAATGGTGATGGCCTTAGGGAAAGGTGTGTCCTCTTCCTTTCCTAGTGCTGTTTTAGTCCTACTCTATGAGAGGCTGCTAATTATGCTCCTTGTCTTGGACATGGATAACGTGGGTAGAATTATAGAAGTAAAGGGGAAGCAGCTGTAAGGGTGATAACTGTGGGGGAAAGGTGTGTTCTCTTCCTCTTGCATCCTGGAAGTTGGAAATGCTTGTAGTGATTTTGAAAGTTTGGATTTTCTTTGCTTTGTGTGCTGAGTAAACTAATCCAGAGGAAAAAGAGATCAGATTGAACTATAATGCATAAATTGATTTTACCTTCCCTGGCTGCTAAATTATTTAGAAAGCATTCTACGTGGTTGTTATCAGGTGGGGGATTGACAACATTGGATTGGAGTCTCCTAAACAAAATCTTGATCTTTTAGAAAGGGAATTGCTTCTACTTGGGCTTAGGGTCTACCCCTGGGTCTGCTATGAGTGGTAACCACAGAAGAGAGGAACAGAGAATTTATGGGAATAGGCACATATTTAGGGAACATCTAAATGGTCCTGCTTTCCTTATTGTAGAGGGAAAACTGCTACCTTCCATACTGATCTGATTTGGATTCTGCAAATTAAGTAACAGAGTGGCAGGTAATCTATTTTCCAAGTGCTGTTTTGAACTGCTCTTTTGGGGCTGGGACCTGCTGAGACTTCAGCTTTATATTTCAGCATAAAGGGCTCATAATGCTCCCATCATTGCTAATTACGTTTGTAATAAGGGGCTAACCAAGCAGTGGGCACCGCTGGTTTTGGCACTGTACAAATGAAAGTAATGTAGGTGCCAGTCACTGTCTTTGAGAGTTTCAGACAAAACAATAAAGACAAAGATAATGAAAAGTCTCTTTCCAGAAATATTTGGAATTTTATTTGCTTTGTGTCTTAAAATCTGTGGACAGGCCTTACTATTTTTCAGTAGCTTTCCTTTTTTATTTTTATTTCTTTGGATGGCTGGTTCTACTGTGCCATCACCATTAAGACTGTTGCATTTCTGGCCTTTATCTATGCATAACTAGTTAAGCCTTTTTTATCTTCTGTCGGTGTGGACAGGTTTCCCTGCCCATGCTGGTGTAACAGGTCTGCCTTGTTCCCCTCCCAGCGTTTTGTGCAAAGGAAATTCCAGAGCAAATTTGTCTCAGATGATACTGTGTTTTGTCTCCATATATTTAAGTATGTATGGATTAAGTTCTCAGAATGTTCCCATACCACTATGTTGTCTGGTTTTGCAATGAGGTCTGAATGGGCATAAGTCTAAGGATGGTGGGCTTTGGCATCCCTTCTCTGAGAGTCTGTGGAGGTATAAGCCCTTGGAAGATTGTGGTTGTGCTTAAGGCAGCATGGCAGACTCAGGTATTTATGTGCATTGGCAATAGCAGGAAGGAGTACTGCACAAAAATGAGTTGGACAGTATGTCTTTAAAATGTTATGAAGTCAATTCTTAAAAGTAATAACTTTCAAGGATGAAAAAAAGCATTGCCTGCTCTCTGCCTCCTTTCAAAGGCAACTGTGTGAGGAGCAGCATTCTACTCTTAGGTTCAAATCAATGGAACTAACTAGGACAAAAATAAACGCAATTCAGTAATTAACGTTTGTCTTCACTATTGTTCTAAATGTTGGAATCGCTTCATGAGTCAGTCTCTTCTCCTCTCTCCTTTAGGTTTATATCCAAGCGCTAGGGAATGAAAGGAGGGCTGCATTAATCTAAAGTTTAAATCTAAGAATTGCCCAGCTGCCATAGCAAGGACTATATTCTGACATCACAAGGATCCCAGCAGATAGCTTTGTTCCTCAGGTGAATAAATTTTTTTCCTGTTGTAAACCTTTCATGGACAGATGCAGCAATAAATATAAGATAGCAATCTGAAGCCCTTTTTTACATTTCTTGTAGCTGAAAAGCAGGAACGTAAAATCAGATTAAGTGACACAGCTCAAATAAATGATGTTACAGAGGAAGACGAGCACAAAATAAATCTTATGTCTCTGGCAAGGAAATGAACCCATTTTCTGCAAGGCCCCCATAATTGCTACACTATCCCACATTGACATAAAGATAGGCAATTAGATTATTTTTCTGCGTGCGTGTTGACTGTATCGGTGACAGATGGTGGATTTAACATTCCTGGATTTGGGTTGTTTTCTAGTTTGAAGGACCAGCTAGATTCCTGCAGTTAGTTTTAAGGGTTTCTTTTTTCCCCCCCCCCCTCC